AAAATGACCAAACTGAGGCTGTCATACTTTGGACACATCATGAGAAGGAAGAACTTATTGGAAAAGACAATAATGTTGGGAAAGGTGGAGAGAAGTAGGAAGAGAGGAAGGCCACATGTCAGATGGATGGATTCTATTAAGGAGGTCACAGGTATGGGGTTGCAAGAATTAAGCGAAGTAGTGGAGGACAGAGGGTCTTGGAGATGTGTCATCCATAGGATCACCATGAATCAACATCAACTCAAGGGCAGTTAACAACAGTAACAAAATGCATGCAGCCCACCCTCCCCACAAAGATGCCTGCACTGTACATGTGGGTGTCAGGGGGAGAAAGATTATATTCCAAATAGTGAGAAAGGCAGGTGATAAATTAAGGTTTGCATCCTGTTCAGTAGTTATAAGATTATAAACTGCATTTACAACCTTTTAACTTTGGGGATTTTTGTTTACAGTCATTAATGACCAAATGTAACCCTCCAAACCCATCTTTTCAGCAATGAAGCATCCCAGCCAATTTGTAAATGCAGTTTATTTCAGATCAGGATGTTGGGATATGACATTTGCAGCATTCTCTCAGTCTCAGGGTACATTGCCATGAGTAGTTGAAGCAGGACCCCATGGGGTCTCCTCAACTGCCTGTTTTCCATGTGTCCTACAACCAGTATAGTGCTGCAGATGTCATTTACCAGTGCCCTGGTTTTCATTGTCTCTGAAACCCTTTAGCTCTCTGAAAAGGAAGTTATTTTTTGGTGGCATCATCACAACCAGTGTGACATAGTGGTTTGAGCATTGGACTATGGACCTTATCATACGTGGCCCAGAAAACTGAAAATAAAGTGGAAATGAGGCATCCCGAAAATAAACGGGAAATAACCCTTGTTTCTGCAAATGTCATTACCTTCATTGCGCTTTTACAGTAAGAGTATCGAGTGTCCACACACAAGAGAAAAAACCCTGTAAATGTAGCTGAAATGAGCCTCCTGCACATGTGCAGAGAGGAATGCTCGCTGGAACCATGGCAACAGTGGGGAAATGCGCCACAATATGTATTTGGTTATCAGACCTACGGTAAATGCAAAATGATTCCCATTGAGCAATTGCAATTCCTGAAGAAACCGAAATTCAAAAGATCTCGGTTCTTTCCGCTTTCTGTCAGGGTTCTGTCAGGGTTCTGTGCGACGTCGTGTGGAAACATGGAAAAATAATATGTATTAGGTCGGGATTTCGTTTGGATTCTGTCTGGTTTGGGCCTGTGTGATAAGGTCCTATGACTCTGGAGACCAGGGTTTGAATCCCTGCTCAGCCATGAAACCCACTGGATGACCTTGGGCAAGTCACAGTCTCTCAACCTTAGGGGAAGGCAAACACAACTCCTGTCCCAAACAAATCTGTCAAGAAAACTCTGTGACAGATTTGCCTTAGGGTCATCATAAGTCGGAAACTATCCGAAGGCACACAACAACAGGAACAATAATCAGACACAGCTACAATGAGGAGATCTGTCATCTTAGTTATATCTTATGATGCACAATCTTAGCCTAAATAAATCTCTCTCTCTCTCTCTCTCTCACACACACACACACACAAACACACACACAAACACAAATACACACAGTTTAAGGCAGGGAGTCTCAGGGTATATTATGTGAGGAGTCACTCCCCCCCAAACTGACACTATGTTTGTTCCTATCAGCTATAATTCTTTTTTTCCCCCTGGAAACTTGTAGGAGCTGGCAGACAATGATTTGGGGACCAGCCCAAGTCCATTGACCATCATTTTGAGTAGCACTGGCTCAAGGGACAAGTAAACTCAATCCTGCCCCATTTTTGTACACATGTTGGGTAAATATGTGAACCTGGCTCAACCTGGGTTATGTCTCAGCCAGATCCAGAGGTCGGAAAAATTATTTGTTGCATGACAGCTCTGAGAATCCCCCTGTTTCTACTGGTACAATCTCCCTTTCTAAAGTCAGGTATAATTTCCCTAACAGGATTGTAATTATTAGATGGGAAGAGTGTAGAACTCTCTTTTGCTTCTTTTGGCAGAAACATGGACTATTAAGTATAATAAACCATAAAAGCAGGGCACTTTTATTGATGGGGGGCATACTGACTCACATCTAGAATGCCACTAAATGGAATGAGGGGCCAGTTTGTATAATCACCAGAACCACATGGTAAAGCTTTTTCGGTACTGTACTGTTTCACTGTGCAAGTTGTATACCTTTGAAAGCTTTCCTACAGGCAAACTGTTTCTGAACTCAAGCCACAGGTACTGTATGGCAGTTTTGAGTCAAGGGTAATGCTTCATATGAGGGATGCCTTTGTAGCCAGTGTACTGTTTGATAAGAATTTTCCAAATTTTGCATCATCTTGTAGGGGAAGTCAGTCTTCTAGTTTTCACTCAGTTAACATCTCTACAATTTTATCTTTTCATAAAATGAACAAGTTAACTACTGGTTATGCCTTCTTTTGGGGCAGGGGTAGGCAACCTTTCCCCGTTAAGGGCTGAGGGACTTCAGCTCCCAGAAGCCTCAGCCATGTTGGCCAATAGTCCCATGTTGGCCAATAGCTCCTGGGATTCTGGGAGCTGAAGTCCCTCGGCCCTTAAAGGAGAAAGGTTGCCTACCCCTGTTTTGGGGGATAGAGTAGGGCTCAGAAAATGGGAACGTTGCCATTTATCTTAACTGTACAAGACAGACA